ATGGAGCTCAAACAATTTAAAGAACTTGTTTAAGATTACAAAAAGTCTATAGCAGAACTGATCCAACATAGATCTTTCTGTCTCCATGACCTTGTGCTTTCCATATCCAGGAATATTAATTCTTCCCAGCTACATTCTTTCAGGCTAGAGATAAACTTTTAGGATCTGACAAACTCTGTTAGAGACAAAGAGTGAAGATCATTAGCATAAGATACAATAGCATGGGCACCTGTGTGGCTCAGGCGGTTAAGCATCTGCCTTCAGCTCAGGTCATGATCCCAGCGTCCTGGGATCAAGTCCTGGGATGGAGTCCAGGGATCGAGTCCTGCATCGGGCTACCTGCTCAGCGGGGAATCTGCTTCTCCATCTACTCCTCTCCCCTGCTTGTGATCTCTCTCTCTCTCTCTCAAATAAATAAATAAAATCTTAAAAGAAAAGATACAATAGCATAACTGCCTTTCTTTCTTTCTTCCCTTCTTATCACTTGCATCTTCCTTCTGTCCACTCTTGTCCCATTTTTATGTGAAATGATATTATATATTACAGTACTTTGAACAATTGTGATATTGTGGAGTTTGGGATGTCTGGCAGCGTTTGTCATAAGTGAAGGGAAGAAACAAACCATCCCTAACTCTAGAATTGCCAAGCTTACTGGTGTCTGTGAGTACAGGATGCCTTGCCTACCTTGACCTTGTTGGCTTCAAAACCTCAGCTCTTAATTATAATACCAGGTTCTACTAATGTGTACACTGGACATAAGAACTCTGCTTCCTTTGACTTCTGTTCCTCATTATGTTATGTGCCCCTGGTCTCATGGAGAAACAATGAAAGAGAAAGCAGGAGGGATAAGAGAGATTTTCCCCAGCACTTGGCAATTTGACATGTATGCAGATCTGTATTTATCTCTGTCTCATCCTTTTGAAGGTAAGCTTGTGGGGAGTACCATGCATGTCAAGTTGCATTAAGTACTCAGCACACTCTTACTCAATGCTTAACATAATAATTCTCATATTCATTCAAGAGAAAAGCCTTCCTTTCTTATGTCCAGCCAGCTGAAAAGATTCATAAGGATGATTTAAAAAGATTGAGAGGCTACTCTAAGCACAAAAATTTACAAGATACACACACACAGCAAAATCTCACAGTGGTAAAATACACTATTTGAGTTGCTCTTTCTCTTGTTTAGACCTAATGTCTGCATAAAATATTTGTTCAAAGCTGGTACATATTGTATCACTCAAGAATATGTGTATGTCTCTTCAGAATTAAAAAAAGAAAAAAGAAAAATTCATCTGTTTGTGAATGAATCTGTATTTTTGAGTGGACTGTTTGGTTGAAAGTTTATAGTACTTATTTTACAATAAAACAAAACAAACCCCCCCAAAACAAAAGATCTTACTAAATTAGCTTCTTCTAGAAAATAAATCTGGATATGATCAGGAACAGTCAAAGCAAGAAGCAGTAAAATCCAAAAATAATATTATAAACAGCTTAAGTCATTTAACTTTATATAAATCTACTGAGGAGGAAAAAAATGAGAGCAGAAAAAAAGAAACTGAACAAAGCAGGTTAAAAACTGGGCGGAGAGAACTCTTGCATCAAAGAAAAAGAAACAAAAGAAATTATATGCTATTCTTCTTTTACTGGAAAGAAATTAAGACTTGTACCTATGATACATTGGAGTAGAAGCAACTATAAAAGAAGAAAAAACATGCCCAAACCTGTATTTGGATCAAGGTGGAGTAGCTACCTGCCACAATTATATAAAACCATCTCAAGTTATTGTTACAGGATTATTTCTGAAATAGGAAAATACTCAAGTATGCAACATACTTCCCAGAATTTTCTCCCTCAATCAGTAAGTTAGAACATTTCAGAACACAGCAAGTGCCACATTCATTAAACTCTAATACTGAATTAGAGTTTTCTAAATCTTCTTTATCCCCTTTAGAGTTTTATGCCTGACTTCTGTTTCATTGTGTATAAAAATGTATCAAAAATTATGCATATTTTTTACTCTACTGTCATTTTTTAAATTGCTAGGTAAAAATTATTTCTCAGCTATAAAGCATACACAAAAGTGTTTGCCCCTAAGTTACAAAAATTTGCTTAAGGTAAAATGATTAGTAAATACTATAAAACAAAGAAATATCAAAATGCATTTATTTTTAGAAGTTTGATATCATATAGCCCCTATGTTTGCCTAATAATAAGGTAACCATTTATCCCTCATCTGGGCAATCCCAATTTATTTCTCTTGCTCTGGCACAATTATTAATAACATCCCTTTTACTCTCAGAGGCATCCAAGTTTAGATCAAAATTATATAGTTATCCCTCCCTAATATCAAGGCAGCATGGCATGAAAAGATCTGAGGTTTTTGAGACAAGCCCATGGGGGTCTGTGCATATTTCCATCATTTACTTACTGTGTATACTCAGGCAATTACTTATCTACTCTGAGACCAATTTTGTCATCAACAGCATATGGATAATAATAGCTCATAGACTTGTTGGGATAACATGAATGCAATAGTATTATGTCTGGGTACATAGACAAATGGGGATAATAAGATCAACCTTATAAGATTGTTGTGCAGTTAACTTAAGATGATGAATTTATGCATAGTGCTTGGCACATTAGGTAAATACACAAAAATACAGTTTTCATCACACTCATTCTCATGATCATCATTATCGTCTGCCATTAGAGGCTGTTTGTAAATCTTAGAACTAATTGCTTCTCTCCTTCTAACGTCACCTTTTCTAGTACTCATGTCACCTGTGTGGAAGACGGTTAGAAATTTGCCCTGTACCCATAACAACCAGGAATTAGGAGCACTTTCCTAGCACTTTAGACTGAAACTGTGTTGAACACTACCTGGGCAGCATTTGGTCTAGCTTCTGGGGCAACACATTGGTTCATTTTGATATAGGCATGAGTGTCTCAGAGTGCATCTCAGAAGTTCCCTCAAGGCAGAGGAGTATGATCTCTGACTTTCGGACCATCTGGGAAAATGCCTGATTCTCCCCTCCTGAGAGGAAATTTTTTAGAAGTCTCCATCTGATTCTTCATAATTCAAGTGGCTTCCATTTTATTTCATTACATACCTGTTTTTGTTCTGAATTTTAATATGTTTTAAAAATTTTCCCAAGGCAAATCTGTGCTCCAGTGAGATGGGTAGTGTGTGCTCCTGACACTGTTGATACCCTTATGCCTGCTTCCGGGTTACCTCTACCCCAGTTTGAGAAAGAACAGAGACCCCCTAGTTGGGTTAGAAGCCAGTTCTGCATTTTTACCCAATTTATGGCCTTTGGCACACTACTGAATTTCTCTGAACCTCAGTCTCCTGGTCTTAAAAATGGGGATACTATAAATACCTATCAAATTGTTTGATAATGAAATGTGATCATGTCGGTAAGCCCACTAACTCACATACTAAGAATTCAATACATGTCAGTTATTTTACACTCTTTTTTGCATTAGTTAAAATGGTTCTTGATACCTAACCAGGTCACATTGATGAGGACCAGTTTGAATTTATTTCTATGGAGACACAGAGCCCAAAAGCACATAAAATAGATGACATCTGGCTTAACATATAAAAATGTCTGTGCAACACAACATGGAGCCTCATGCAACTATCCAGGTTCTCTCTTTCAAATTCCCATAGTAAGTCAGCTTTGAGTGGTAATAGCTTATTAATGACCTTACTTGACTAGGCATGCATGTTTTTTGGAATCCGGTTGCCATATAGGAACCATATGGCTGAGATCTCTCTAGACTTTACAAAGAGCATTAGTAAAATGAAAACAGAAACAATGTTGTGAGGCACAGGATTCAATCACCCAGACTCCATCCTTTACCTGGCTGACACCTAGTTGTCCTTCAGGATCCCAGTCAGACACATTCTCTCTTTTTTGGGAAATGTTCCTCAAAGACCCTGTGCTTTCCTCTATCACTGTACTTATTACAAACCACAGAAAATTAATGTTCATTTATCTATGTGCTCCCTTAACCTTTCAATCTCTAGAGTAACTGTTCACAAAGTGAAATCAGCAGACTCCTCAAAGTTCCTGAGACCCTTTCAGGGGGATTTGCAAAGTCAAATCTACTTTCAAAAATAATACTAAGACATTAGTTATCTTTTTCACTCTATTGACATATGTACTAAGGATGGAAAAGCATTGGTGTATAAAACTGCTAACATTTTGAATTAAGTGGCACCAAACTAGTTTGTGTATAATTTGTACATCAAACTGTAGTATTGTAGTCATTATATTAATCACCTAACACTTGCAATAACACAAAAGCAAAGTAATACTAAACAAAGGACAAAAAATAACATACCAATTTCAGTTAACAATGCCCTTTTAAAAACAATGAAAATTAACATTCATTTTATAAAGTCCAAATTCCTGAATACACATCTTTAATATTCTGTGTGCCAAAATGGGATGTATATAAAAAGCACTCACACTGTAACTGAAGGATGGTGATTGTCAAGCACTTGTGAGATAAATGTTTGGGTTGCAATCTGAAATAGCTTCTCTTTTCATGGCATACCATTTTTACTTTAAAAAGTAACTGACAGACAAACCATGGTTGTTCAGAGTTGGGTACTTCACAGATATTTTTCAAAAGATGAATGAAAGCAAGCAAGTTAATTCAAGGAAAACAACCAATGGTATTTATTGCCAATGATAAAATACAAACATTCCTGCTAAAACTATAATCTAAAGAACAATTTGTCTCTGCTACTGTGAACTTGACAATTTCCCAATACTTATGGACTTTTCTGATAAGCATGGTGGTGATATTAACAGTGGTGATTTAAAAAAATAAGTTTTATGACATGTCGACTTTTGGGAAATCTGCATAATTCAGTGAAACAGTATTTTCCATCATGTTATAAAATCATGCAAGTAATGCACGGGTAAAAGATCTATGCAAAATGTGAGATAAACCAGAGCGCCTGGCTGGCTCAGTTGGCAGAGCATGTGACTCTTGATCTTGAGGTTGTGAGTTTGAGCCCCACGTTAGTCACAGAGATTACTTAAAAAAATGTAAGAAAAAACAATATGTTTTTCCCCCCTTTTTATTTATTTATTAATTAATTTATTAATTTATTTTTTGATGTAGTGTTGGGGGTTAGCCTGGTGAATGGTATTAATGAGGGCACGTACTGAATGGAGCACTGGCACTGGGTGTTATATGCAAACAATGAATCATAGAACACTACACTAAACCAATGTGTTTTACTGCAACAGATTTTAAAATATTCTTTAATATGTTTTCATATTTAGTTTAGTACCAACGAAGAATATCACATTTATCTCAAAAGGCTATTAAAATAATTCCCCCTCATTTCACCTAATATCTGTAAGGCTGAATTTTTTCATATACTTCAAACAAAACAATACATTGCAATAGATTGATATGCAAGTAGATGGGAGAATTTGGATGTCCTCTTTTAACACAGATATTAAAGATTTTGCAAAGAAATGTAAATGATGTCAATTTTCAGACTATATTTTTGAAAAAAAATTTTCACAAAAATATGGTTGTTTAAAAAAGATTCACTTATTTTAGAGAGAAATAGAGAAAGAGAGAGCACACAAGCAGGGGGAGGGGCAGAGGGAGAGGGAGAGAGAATCTCAAGCAGACTCCCTGCTGATAATGGGGCCCTAGATGGGGCTTGATCTCAAAACACTGAGATCATGACCTGAGCAGAAACCAAGAGTTGGACGCTCAACTGACTGAGCCACCCAGGCACCCCCAAAATGTGTTTTTATGCCAAAACGCAATTTTATTATTGCTATTTTTAATTGAATAAATATTAAACTTTTTGATATTCTAATGTGAAAAATATTGATAGCTATAATCAACAAATAAAGCTTTGGGGATCCTCAATAATTTTTGAGGATGGAAATGGGTGCTGAGACCAAAAAATGTAAGAATCACTGCTTCAGAGGACACCACCATTCATCTTTCTATCCAAAATGCCTATTATTCACTAGGTGTTTTATACATATTTATTTAATAGATAGATGGTTGATAAAGTAACTTAATATTGTATATAATGCCAGAAAAATTTTTTTACTATAATAGAAAATATCTTGATATGCAATATGTAAGGAATCAATTATAATACAATTTATTATTATTATTATTATTATTATTATTATTATTATTATTTGTCTACCCTTGTTTCTTGCCTCATAATGCCTTTCTCCAAAACTGAGATAAGGAAAAGGACTCTTTGGTCATAATTTATCATTTAATTAAATCAATCAACAAACATCTACTGGGAAAATACTATTTGCCTGTCTCTAGGTTGGATATAGGTGATGATGAGAGGGGCAATGAAGTAGTTTATTTTTCTTAAAGTTCATTATTTGACAGCCAAGTCAAAGAATTTACTTGTTTATATATTTTACAACAAACGTGTTTGAGATAAAATAGTTTTAACACCTTTTGAAGATTTTAACAAGTTTTGTTGACTGTTTTTTATATTGCTTTATCATTGTGCTTTAAGGAATATTTAGGACCCACCTCTTTTCCAGTTTCCTGTCATAAAACCTTGAATACGTTTTAGTCCTAGACTGCTATGGAGGGGGAGTTTTGATGGACAGAAAAACAGAAATCTGAGGGGACAGAGTGAGGACACAGAGTCTCATCTAAATTAATTTACAGACTAAAGTCTCACACGAATCAAGTCAGGACATTTAAAAAATTCTTAACTGTAATTTTTTTTTTCCCTTTTTTATAAAATTTTTTTTTCTTCAAAAAAAAACTCAAAAAAAAAAAAAAAAAAAAAAAAAAAAGGTGGAGGAGGGGGAGGAGGGAGAGAAGAAGAAGAAAAGGAAAGGGAAAGAAAAAGTAAATATGTGTGGGGATGGATGTCGTAATTAACTCAGTGGGAGAAATCGTTCACTAAACAAATCATCACATTGTCCATTTTAAATAGCTTACAATTTTATGTCAATAATACTTCAATAAACCTGAAAAAAAAGTCAAGTCTTTCAAAAGAGAGAGTATCTTCTTGATAACTCTGTGAATGAGAAAAAGTAGAAACAGTTTGGAATACACAGTACATATTTTTGGCCCCCTGAATGAAGGAGATAATAAATCTTCTCTTGCCAAGAAAAGAACGTCTTTCCGTTGTGCTGTTGTAGTTAATATACTATACCCAAGATCTAAAGCTCTGTAATTATTTCTTTTTTGCTATTTTATCCATTGTGAGATGCATTTTTTTTCCCCTTGTTTTAACATTTCTGAAATTGGGATAAGGCTATTCAATCAATGATATATCATAGTCTCATTGGCATAGTTTTAAATTTTCTTTGTACAATATAAAATATTGGTGCATCTTACTATTGATAGCATTTTAAATTAAATGAGACATAGTATCTCAGAAAACTACATAAGACTTGATTCTACAGTCATATGGTGACACCATAATCAGGATAGCGATCCTTAATGCCTTGAATTGGTTCTATTTCCCTTTCCTGTCTCCTTGGAAAATACCACTATTTTCTCATCTAATGAGCAAATAAGCTGATTTGCTTCAAGGCAAAGTAAGCAAATTTGAATGACACTATTTGATCCCTGAGAACTTCAGAGTTTGGTATAAAGTTTGCACAAGCCCAAAGGGAAAAAAATTCCAGATGTTTAGCTAATATATAAATAAGATGTGATCACAAGACAGAGATTTCTATATAAAGAGTGTATCCTAATATTTATGCTTCAAAATATTAAACCTATCCTTAGCTTACAATTGATTATATATAATTTTAATGCAAACAACAGCATATGTAATTTTCCTTTGCATTACCCTTCTCTTCTGAAGTGCCAAGGAAAATAAATGTGTGCAAAAGCATTTATGCCCATGTCACTATCTGTACATTGGTTAAACAATCAAAAGTACTTCTGCAGATGCATGTATGAAAATTAAGAGCATTCCCACTTCCTCAGTCAAGACAGTCATGCTGTTCTGGCCGCACAGATGCATAATGGAAACAAAATTGCTTTAAATAATCAAAATACACAAAGACACATTTTTCTGAGTGATTGGAAATAACCCTGACAAATGCTCACATTTGGTAAATTATGAGCTAGCCAAGGTACGTTTGCATAAATATAATGAAAAACATTTTTTAAAAATTTAGTAAGCATATAAAGCAAGCGATTCTCTTGGTAATGAATTTCTTTGACAGATAAACCAACAACCATGCAGGGCAAGTTTATGAAGGTGCCTCCCTGAGTGCTTGACAGTGTGTGTGTGTGTGTGTGTGTGTATATATATATATATATATACATATGTAGACAAAGAAAAATCCTGTAGAATTATGTGAGACAGAGATCTTCTTGAAACTAAAAATATAGAAAAAGGCTAGACATATCACATAGCTACTTGTATTTTGAAAAGAACACACAAAAAAATAAAAAAATAAAAAAAGAACAAATATGATGTGCAATCGAACACTATGATAATATGGCACACAAATAATCCATATTTCCCATACAAAACTCTTTGGTAACAGAGAGATTACATAAATAAACACATAATTATATTCTCTTCCAACAGTCTAGATACCACACCTCAGCTGCACCCTTAAACAGGCATCAGTATATAGTTGAGAGGATTTGTGGGTGTCTCATAATAAAATTGTTTGAATAGAGCAAGAAATAAATTTTTTCCTTTTTAAAAAGATTTTATTTATTTATTTGAGAGAAAAAGTGAGAGAGAGCATGAGAGGGGAGAGGGTCAGAGGGAGAAGCAGACTCCTCGCTGAGCATGGGGCCTGATGCAGGACTTGATCCCGGGACCCCAGGATCATGACCTGAGCGGAAGGCAGTCGCCCAACTGACTGAGCCATCCAGGTGCCCTAAAAATAATTTTCTACTCCCATGGCACTATTTGTTATCTGATTGCTTTGTATAGGTCTGAGCACTGAGCACCATAACATGTGGATTACAACAAAGCAAAAGCCAAGGAAAGATGTACATTCACTTAGGATTTTCTAGATTAGCCTATTTCTTAAGGGAAGCATAATCAGGTAGGGAGACTGACCCACTGAGTTTGCTACTTGCATAGCCAAGCTATTCTGAGGATTCTGTAGCCTTTAGAAATCACTAGTAGCTGAAGAACACACCTTTAAATGAAATGGTTGTTATCAAGGTCTTTTCAAATGGTTTTGCCACGTAAGACAAGTACCCACATCTATAGGGGTAAACTGTGTTCAAAAAGATAAAATAAGCCAAGGACAGTGGGTGGAGTAGAGATGACTTGCTGGAAGGTTGTGGGGTGGGGGGGATTCTTTTAATTCCTAAGCATGAATTGTAGGAAGAGCCTGATTGTCTTTTACAGCCTTAGTCATCTTTGAACATCATCAACTTTTCCCCATTAACTGCCACCCACCTTCACCTAACAACAGGAAGTAAGAGCTTGAGAGAAACTAGAATTACAACAGGCCTCTGGTTGGGTAAAACGGTGCAGCCAACCAAGTTAAACTGGTGTCACTTGCCTCACTCATTTAGGTAGTTCTTATCCTTATCTCTTCTTCCTCTCATTTAAGAGTAAACTCCTAGAAAGCTTAATGCTTTGCTTTACTTTCAATATTCAAATATACTGAGATATTTGGATATCTTCAAATGCAATATGATTTCTCTCCCCATAATTTCAGTGAAACCTCTCTCCTATTAGCATCAATGACTAACTCATTGTGACATCCAGTATTTTCATATTTCATCTTCCGTGTGTGTGTATCCTCCTTTCCACCTGACCAGTCCTTTCTTTTGGAAACTCTCCACCCTTCCTCCCTATGGACATTCCCAGTTTTCTTTCTTTCCTTCCCCTCCTTCCTTCCTTCCTTCCTTCCTTCCTTCCTTCCTTCCTTCCTTCC